AGTTAGCAAAAAATATGGTGCAACCTTTTTAGGATACTGGTTTCTTGTTGTTGTTTGTTTGTTTGTTTTTTGGGCTGGCTCAGGCTGCCTTAAGACTAGGTCTCTTGCGGCAAGTGGTGCTGGGGATCGAACTGCAGTCCCTTACCCCTGACTGATTTTGCTCAATATGGTGTTTTAGACAACTGAGCTAACTCGCCAGCCCCCTGTATTTATTTATTTATTTATTTATTTATTTATTTATTTATTTATTTATTTATAATGTATTTTAGTACAGAGAATACAGGGTTTCACTACACAGATTGGACTCACAGTGATCCTCCTGTTTTCAGCCTCCCAAACTCTGGGATTACCAGTGCGCACCACCATGACATCTCAGTTGCTATCTCAGGGCACCCAGGAGGTGGGGCTGACACTGCATGCTGGGGATGAAACCCTGGCCCCTGGGCCTGTGTAAGCAGGTGCTATAGTCCACTGAGTTATTTGGCCAGCCCAGATATGGTGTGACTTTGATGACAGTTGAGATTTTTCTGAAACATTTTACACAAGGGCCTGAGTTTAATCCCCAGTTCCACCAAAAAAAAAAAAAAAAAAAAAAAAAAAAAAAAAAAAAAAACCCTATATTCCAGAGTATACTCAGTATTTTTTTTAGTAACTTTTTGATTTTTGGGAGGCCTTGCAGTGTATTGTGTGGTCAAAGGCATCTAGGCTTGGGTTGTTGAAGAAGAAAACCCCGATACTTAGTACTCCTTAGGTGATGCGGAAAGAAATGAAGATGGTTCCTAAAATCCTCCAAGAATTTCAGCTACACAAAGGCTCTTCCTAAAAAGAAGGAATTTCTTTTCTCTAAAATGAATTGATGTAGTTACTACTGGCCTGGTACAATATTGAAATGACTTTTAAAATCCTTACCCTGAATTTTTAACAATATATTTCTTGCAAAATGCGTTCCTATTAAAGATACATTCATTCATTACACAGCTGGCTGGCAAGAGGAGTTCAAAAATCCTCCGTATATTTGCACTAGGTGTTCAATCTCAGCTGGTTTCCTCTGCAACTGAGGAACTGACAACTTGTGATTTATGGATTTGAAGTAATTGAATTTCTTGGCTGTCATGCTCTTTGCGTAAGAAGCATTACATACGTTTTAAGAGAAAATGACTTAAAAGAAGAAGAGTGAAGTGATGCCAAGTTTTGAAATTTTATTTGAAAACAGTGTTCCAGCCAAGCAGTACTTAAAATGCTCCCTTTAAGCTTCTGAATCATGTTTGTTAGATAATTTTTGAAAATACAATTTGGGACATAAGGTTTTAAAATGTGCCATTTTGGAGTTAAAGTCAAAGAGTAAACTAGAAGTTTGGCATATTAGTGATTTTACCTTCTCAAACTAAGAATTGCAGTACTATGAATTGACACATGGTAACAGGTAAATTTCTTTAAAAGCAGAAATTGCACAATATTTCATTTATTTTTCAAATCAGCATTTAGTGATTTAGTGGAATATTTCTGTGAGCAGAATTTTTTAACTTGAAGACCTCTGAAGCAACTTCCCAATTTGACCATGGTTCGGCCTCCTAATTTTGTTAGCTTTTCCTAGATTTTCTCAGCTCGTTGATTTAACTGCTTCATCCATTTCAAATTTCATAGATTGTTCACCAACTTTTTTTATAACTTTTTGGGGGATGCTTTGATGCCTGTGAAAGAACAGGTAACACGGATTGAGGGAGAGTCTACAACTCTTGCTTATGTACTTTTGATGAACGTTGCTCTAATCATGTTAATGGAACTATGACTACTAGTTAAATTTTGTAACCACTATCCAAACTTGACTGTTCAGCACTTGGAATTTGACCTATCTGATGGAGAAATGGAATATAGTATTCGACTTTCTTCAATTAATTTATATTTGCATTAAATAATCTCAGGTAGTGGTCTACCATAGCAGGGAGAGCTAATGGTCTGGTCAGTTTCTCATTATTGTAACAAAACACCTGACATGAAACAAGAAGAAGAGAGCTATATTTTGGCTCACAGCCTCAGCCCATGGTCCTCTAGCTCCATTACTTCAGACCTGCGGGAAGGCAAGACATCATGGTGGGGATGGCATTGTGGAGGAGGCTGCTCACTTACCTAACAGAGAAGCAGAGAGGAGACAGAGGGAGGGCCTGGTGTCCCAGTGTCTCCTTCATGTCATGGCTTAGAGAATGAACTTCCCCTCTCCAGTCTTGTCTCCTGAATACTCCATCTTTCAATCACCCCACCAGCTAGAAGCCACCCCTTCAATATAACATCTTGGTGGGGGCATTTGGGACCCAAACACTTAAAAATGAGCTTGTGGCCTTGAGCAGTTTCTGTCCATACATGTGGGTAGTGGTGAATTGGGTACTTTGGGTTGGGGTGTTTTTCAGTGGTGCTACATTGGTTAGTATTTCCCTACTAAAGAAAGAGGTGAAAATATGTTAGGCATTTATGGCCTGTGTTAGAATGGCTGGAATGTCCTAGAATTTAGTGTGTGGGGACCAGAAATGCTAAATGGCCTGAAATGTATAGAACAGTCTTCATGATGAATCACTGTCCATCCCAAATGCCAATAGTGACCAGTTTCATAAATTTAAGCAGACCGCAGAGTTATCTAACTAGTTTCCTTTTGTTTGTGAGATTTGTGATCTCAGTCTTGCTCATATTTGTCTCCTGTGCTTTTTACCTTATTTCTTCATCTTTTCTGAACGACTTCACTTTCCTACTATGAAAATTTTGTTCTGTATCTCTAAACACTCCTCCTCTGCATGTGAACACCTTTTCTGTCTCACATAATATCCTTTTTGTATCCCATATCGTGTAGCCATGACTGTCTCTTTTCTTTTCATCACAAATCTGTCCTCCACAAATCTCAGAATAGAACATTTGTTTATCTAGCTATTGGAAGACAATCAATTGTATTGTAATAAAAAGAAAGCTGATACCATGTATAGTTTCAAAGCACATCATTTTATTACATAGACATATCATAAGAGTCACCATACCATATTCCACGTTAAAGCTATCATGAGTGTGTATATCTGTAGACACACACACTCACACGTATGTACACACATCCATATTTTAAAATTTCTAATGAGACCCCACTTGTTTATGCTTAGACTAACTCCTCCTCTTTTCAGCTAGTCTTTAAATCATATGTTAACAACCATTGCCCACAGTTTTTTTCTAGTTTAGTGCCACATTTTTCCCAAAAGGTAAATTCATACTAAAACCATAATATAGCACTTACAAAATCCTATTTCATAGTCAGTGTGTTGTCAAAGTTACATTTTCACTAATTGAACAGTATCTTCTGAACTTCTTCCGCTTACCTGAAGAAGCGCTATACATCCCCAGTAAATCGCTCCAAACTGAGCCCTGAAAACCCCAGGTTGAAATAATTACATTTAAATATATATCTACACTGACTTAAAATTACACTGTGGACTAGTTGGATAATTGCAATGGTTGCATTTCGTTTTGAGTTTATGTCAAAGCAGTGATATGCTGACTTTTGTCTTTAATGTGTGATTTTATAAATTAGCTCAAAAGACATCAAAATATCTTACTAATGCGTTATAATTTTGTGTTGTACAAACATGTCTACAGAGAAATGCCACCAAAAATTAGAGTTGGTGGTTTGTTCTTTCAGTAAAAAGCTACATTCTTGCACAAATTCAGTAGAATCGTATACACACAAAATTTCTGCATGTTCTGGTTTATATTTTCAGTGGCAAGTACCATGCCTGCTTGTGGCGCCAAACGAACAACAATGATGGCAATTTACTATTTCAAGTTGCGTTTGTAGGCATTTATACTCTGCTACACAATGAAGTGATCCAAATGAGTTGGGAAACTTCGAAAATTACACCAAACACCTGTAGTCCAGTTATTTCTGTGGAATAGATAATCAGAATTTTAAAAGTTAATTCCAATAGGTTAAATGATATTCATGTTGTAAAACAAAAAGACCATCAGACTGTCATTAACTCAAATTGGCTTATTGTTAACACAACTAAAACCTAAGTCTTGTTTATAAAGGATAGCATGTTCTCAAACTGAGTATTAAAGATTTTAATTTACCTTCAGTTTAGTAAGTAACTCATAAAAATGACTTGAAAATTAATTAGCTTGGGGAATAATAAAATATGCATACAATAAATTATATAACTAAAGTTGTTAGATGTTTTTGTCTGTTGTCAGATATTATATTTTCACAAGTATTTTAAAAGACTGCTGTTTCTTTGCCTACTTGTAAGGTTGGTTGGTATTTAAATATTTTATTAGGGAAATAATTAAATCTAGCTATATGAATGTCAGCTTATCTTTTTATTTCCTTTAGCAGAGAAGTTTTTCAGATTCTTTGGTTATATGTTTTCCTGAATATGGTCTGTCAGTATTATTTCATGTAAATTGCAAATCAAAAGAAAACAAAACATCTCAAAACTACAGCAAAGTTAATTCTAACTTCATTGGGGAGCAATACCATCTGTCTTCTATAATTTAACTGGTCTGCAAAGCGTTTGAAATGTAAATGTCATGAATAATTATGGGTCATGATGTCTTTGCTTACAAATATGAAAATATATGCATTGAAGTTACATTTATAAATCAATTTTAATAATAGTTATTACATAAATGCCATAATAGTAAAATAACTGCATAACTAAGTAATCTATATTTATACAACACTATTGAGATCACTTAGTTCCATAAATATCAGCAACAATAATACTTACATATATTAGGTATAATAATAAGAAGGAAATTGCCTAATTTTGTAGAAATTAAATGTAATTTTGTGGGCATAGAGAAGTTTTGAGCAACTGTCTTCTTG